GTTGTATAGATTTTTTTTAATTAAAACCAATCAACAAAAACAAAAAATGATTGTAAAAATATAATTAAAAGAACATTTGTTTAAAAGGTAATAAAAAAAATTATAGACTATTACATACTATGTCAATGTATAGACTTAATAGAATACTAAACTCAATTACAAGTTTACAACAATTGATAAACATATATCCGCGATACAATAATCTACTTACTATACAACTTAACCACATTTACATATATGGGCCTTTGCTCACTTCTGGCCCAAAAGGCCTTTCTCTTCTTTCTTCTTCTTCCGACGACCACGCTTCTTCATCTTCTTCGGTTGCTTACGCTTCTACGCTTTTCTTCTTTGCTCCACATCTTCACCTTAGAGCATCTCCAACCATGATTGATTAACATGAGGTGTTTATTATTGAAATTATAAAAATATTATTATTTCATTTGATGGGTTGCTTATTTAGTGAAAAATTGTTTCAAAAGTCTTTTAAATCTATCGTATAAGCAACTTTGAATGTATTGTTTTAGGGGAGAAATGTCATAAAAATCTCGAACTTTCAAATTTGGGACGATTTAATCCTGAACTTTAAAGAAGTAATTTTAATCACAAAGTTTTGTTGACTTTTCGGTAAAATAGCTAAGTTTTGTTGATTTCACTTATTTAAGCATGACATTTAATTTTTGTTAAAAACTTGAAGATGTGGTTAACTATCTGTTTTAGCTATTTAAGCAACTCACACCATTTTTAATTAATAAATTTTCTCTCACTAAAATAAACAACTTTTGTTAAAATAAACTTATTTATAAATGAAGACATTTTTTGTGTGTTATTTATCTAATTAACTTTTAAATATTTGTTTCATTTCTGTTTTCCATTTGACTTTGCTGGTAAAAAGATTTTTACCCAATCCTTTATGAAATCACTGCAATTTAATTAAACATATATATATATATATATATCATCAGAATTAACAAAAATAATAATAATATTAATTTCCCCTAAGAAAAGTATCTTATATGGGACAATTTATAAAATATCAAACATAGAATAACTTACGTGGAGTTGTTTCCATCAAGAGGAAATGACATTACTAACACACGTAATTGTGATATATGTAAATAATATTAGATGTACAAATTATTATTATTTTTGTTACTAGCTTCTATGTTTCTCTTTTGTACGATTAAGTTATGAATCAACTTCCAACACTCCCTCTTGATTCATTTGCTTAATCCCCAAAATCCAATTTAGGGATTTGTTCCCAAGTCCCCCGACGCTCCTTCCTCTTCTCGGTTGGTTCGTGAATCTCTTTCACGACATTGGCACAGCTCATCTCAATCTTGCTTTCTCCCTCATCATCTCATTCTTCATGAGCTTCCCATGCCTCTTGTTCTTCGCTGGTGAATCCGCCTCCTCTCGAGACGAGTTTCTTCTTCACGACATCAACGAACATCACATGTAAGTTTGTTCCATCAATCTCCCTCTTCTTGCATCAATGTTCTTTTTTCCTCGTGAAGTTCTTCTTCATCTCCCTCTTGAATCGATTCTCCTTAATCGATCGTTTCTTTCTCTGCAGGTGCTTGGGGTGGTGGAATCTCTCTGTATCATTTCTCATGCCCTCCGTGCCTTCCTTGGTGACTTTTGATTCACCATTGATGGGTAATCTCTTTACCTCTTTTGCTTTGCTTTGCTTTTGTTTCTCGGGTCTTCTTGAATCTTGATCGACATCACCATTGGGTCTTTCACGATGCCTACATAGCTCAAGAGCAAGCAAGCTCTTTGATCTTCCTCTTAAACTGAATCTCTTTGATTTTCCAGTTTCTTCTTTGGCTCTTGGCTGGTTCTCTACGCAAGTTCTTCATTGTTCCCTGGATCAGTCTTGACCAATTTACTTTCCTTGTAGGTAACACGTTGACTCCAGGTTTGCTATTCCCTGAGATTTCTCCATGTCACCTCCAAGTCTTCTCCATATCTGCCAGTTGCTTCAACTAGCTTCAGCCCCCTCTAAGGTGAGCATACTCTTGTTCTGTTTGCGAATTTCTTTGTCACCTCTTTGACATATTTCCTTCGCTTTCTCCTCTGTTTCTTCTTTGATCAATTGTTTGATCAACCCCTTTTCTTGTAGGAACCAGTTTAGCCTTGTGGCTTAATCTCTGTCCTTACATCTGCTCCAAGCTTTTCCATGAGCTCTCCCTCACTTTCTTGAAGTCTTGTGCGTGACTCATGTTCACGTCTTCTTCGGCGCACTGTGCAACCGGTTTAACCTCCCTCTGTGGTGAGCTTCCTCTTTTATGTTTGGTGTCCTCTTCGATCACCATCTCGTGCGTGACACTTGTTCACGTCTTCTTCGGCGCTCTGTGCAACCGGCTACAGCTCTCTCTGTGGTGAGCTTCCTCTTGTTTTGTTGTATTTGGTTTCCGCTTTAATCTCTGTTTCTCCAACATCTAGTTTGTGCCCTTTAGCTCTTTGAATCATCACCATGGCTTTCTTAACCAAAGACTTTTTGGTTCTCTGACCATCACCTTAGTTTGCTAACCTTGTCTTTTTGATTCTTTGAACTATACCTTGGTTTCTCTAACCTTGGTCTCTCCATTTTCAGCTTTTGAACCTCTGTCGCTCTCAGCCTTAGTCCGGATTTAGGGCTTCTCTTTTCCTGCTTCAGACACAAAATTCTCCCTCATGGTTTAATGCTTCATATGGTTTGTTCTCAGCCTCAACCTTCTTTCTCAATCCATCCTTTTTGAATTTGAGTTTTGTTGATCTTTAAACACTGGTTTAATACACACTAACCTCATGAGTATTCTGTTTCAGGGCTGTAACATCTCTTCCCTTTGTTCACATCCACCTCTTTTGGAGGTACATTTTCTTTCTTATTTGCCTTACACGTCTCTATGTTGTGTAGGCTCCTTCTCTCCACCTCGGTTTTTCTCTAACCACAGCTTTGAATTCTTGAATCATTAACCCCAGCTTTGTCCGACTTGGTTTGTTTGATTCCTTCACCCCCACTTTGGTTTTTCTCTAACCTTGGCTTCTTCTTTTACTTCTTGTTTCAGCTAACGAAGCACATGGATTCTCAGCTTCAACAAGCTTCTTCAAGTTTCACCTTCACCATGTCAGAAAATCAGAGAATTCACCTTCACAACTCTGTCTCCACATCCGCACTATCTTCATAGCTTCTTCCAGAGACCTCCTCGCCTTCTTGGATGCTCTTGAAAGGTAAGACCTTGTGGAAGTGTTTGTGAATGGTTGATGGTGCTCTTGTCACCACATCTCTTTCCTTCTCTTCTTCTCTGACTTAGTCTCAGCTTTGCTCTTCTTTGTTCTCCTTTTTTATTTTTTTTCATTTTTTCTTTTTCCAGCCTTGCATTCTCCTTGTGCAGGCTTCTTCTTTCTTCACCCAACAAGCTTTGCTTTGAGCAGCATGTTGGTTATTCTCTCCAAATCGTCAGCCTTTTACTTGACTGCAGACTCTTTCCATTGAACAGCTTCTGTGGCTGCCTCTCATCACTCTCTCTCGGATCCTGATGGTCTTCTCTAACCAAGCTTCAGGTCCGCCTTCTTTCTCTTCACAGCCTTTGAGCTGCAACTCCTTCTTCTGTTTTAGGTTTTCTCTTAACCTTTCACCTCTCTGGTTCAGGTCTGTTCATCTCTCGTGATGAACAAATTCAAGGAGGCTCCATCTCTGCTCATTTGTGGCCGATGAATAGCTCCCTCTCATGTCTTTCTCAGGTCACAGAATTTTGACGTCTTCTTTGTGATGCCGGCTCATACATGAAACTTGGTAGAGCTTCACCTTCTTAGGTTTTCTTCATTTCTTCTTCTATCACTCACACAGCTCACCTCAACGATGAATGAGCTGGTCCATTTCTCCTCTCTTTTCTTCAGTCTCTTCTTAGACTGCCTTTTCTCCCTCTTGGCCTCAACCTCTTCTTCTTCTTGCAGGCTCCAGGGATCTTCAGCTCTGATACCATGTTGGAATCTCCACTTCGAACCACTTATGGTTAGATCTCTTGTTCTCTCTATCTCTCAGATTTGGTTTGTTTTGTTAGAGATGAGACAAGAAGCGTTTTTACTCCAAAGACTACATTGTTAATCTTGGATCACTTGGATGATGTTCTCTTACAACATTATAACATTTTATACTTAGGTTTTACTCTTAACCTAATTACTATACAAAAGGCCTTTCTCTTCTTTCTTCTTCTTCTTCCGACGACCACGCTTCTTCATCTTCTTCGGTTGCTTACGCTTCTAAGCTTTTCTTCTCTGCTCCACATCTTCACCTTACTAGCTTCCATGTTTCTCTTTTGTAGGATTAAGTTATGAATCAACTTCCAACATTCTCCTGAGTAATTTCAAGCTAGATTCGTTCTTAGGTGCTTTTTGATGTGCTTGTTGTTCTACTTAGTTCAATTCTGTGTTATTTGCTACTTAGATGATTGAGTCTTCCTCACTGTTTGAATTAGTCAAAGTGGAAACATTCATTAGTCACACTTCGCTGTATCTGTTCTCTCCATATGCTGACCTTCATATATGTCATACCTATGCAGGGGTTAGGGCCTTACTCTGCACCTATCAAGAAAGCGAAGAAAGAAATTAAGGAACTTGCCAAGAAGATTAACAATCTATGTGGTATGTGCACACTCTTTGCTGCTCAAGTGTTGGGCTTACTTCGATAAGCTAGTGACTTCTGCTTACGGAATGACTAAAATGTTTATTGGTTGCTTATATGGAAACATGCAGGTATCAAGGAGTCTGATACTGGTTTAGCTCTTCCAAGTCAATGGGATCCAAGTTCCCACAATCCAAATTCAGAGGTTAACATTCTGTTTGTAGCCACCTATGATTTCTATGGTTGTTCATTTCTCATTTAATCAGCGTTTTGCATAATTTCTAACAGATACTGACACCATTTTCTAATGTACCAAGGCAAGAGATGAAAGCTAACTAGCAGCATCAGATGGTTTTGTCAGAGGAGCAGCTCAGTGGCAGAAACTCATCATCTAGCGTAGCAACATCTAAACAACGCATGCGATGGACACCAGAACTTCACGAGGCATTTGTTGAAGCTGTTAATCAGCTCGGTGGTAGTGAACGTGCGTTTGCTTTCTTCTTCTCTCGTTCCTGAAAATAATAGCTAGAGCCCGTTTAACTGGAAACAGTTGTACTTATTCTTTTACTGCCTTTTATAATTTCCACTGTAGGAGCCACGCCCAAAGCTGTTTTGAAGCTCTTGAATAACCCTGGCTTGACCATTTATCTGAGCTATAAACCACATAGCCCTTTAGAGAATTGTCACTTTCTAGATTAAGCTAAAGTCACGAATGCATACACCTTACAAAGGGGCACATACTTTGTCTAAATTTCGTCTCTTATTTCCACAGGAGAACCTCAAGAGAAGAAGATGACATCTATGGAAGATATCAAATCTCTTGATATGAAAACGTAAGAAAATTCACTTTCCTGACTGCACATGATTTTTTCTTCCTAATAGTGTTAAATTTATTTTGTTACTAATTCGTTTCCAGGAGCGTTGAGTTCACACAAGCTCTAAGGTTACAGATGGAAGTTCAGAAACGTCTCCATGAGCAGCTCGAGGTAACTGGTAAAAAAGAACACCCTTCTTTACGTGATTTCTAGCTCTGAAAGAGGACTTGTCATAGATATTATGAACATTGTCTTATGTTGTTTTCTTTATATGCTAGATCCAACGGACACTGCAGCTACAGATTGAAAAACAGGTCAGATACAAGAGAACAAGAGCTCTTCTCCAGAAGAATTACCAAAGCAATGTAACACCACATCTGCAGAAGTCGAATATGGTCTCGAAACGCGAACAGATAACCGGACCGAATCTGCTTCAGCATCAAGGAAACGGGTCAGAGAAGATTGAAACATAATCAAGGTTGGCCGGGTCCAAACACTGAAGACGCTAAATACGTGATCAATGGCAATCAAATTGCAAAGGTACATTATAATATATACCTTGGCTGCTGTTTCTGTTATTCTGCATAATCAAGTGTGTGTTTTAAAGCCTTTTATGTTTGGTTATACTGATTAAGTTTTTTGGTTCTTAATTCCATTTGGTTGTTATTTGTTGGTCACTCATGCATGTGTTAAGAGGAATGTTTCTCTTTCGTTTTTGGAGTTAAGATTTCTAGTTTCTAGAGACTTTGAAAGTTTTTCTTTTACTTCATGATTTCTCTTGCACCTGAATGTTTAGGATGATCATATACATGTTTGTCATGAGTATTCATATAGTGTTTGGTTGACTTAATGCTTGAGACCTTAGAGACCATTTGCTTCTAGTCTCTCTTACAGTCACTTTTGTGTAGGAGGATCCGGTGTTGTTGGTTCCTGAGCAAAAAAGTCAAAAACCATCTGTTGCAATTATTAAGGTACTGGTGTGCTAAACTGTGTATTCAATTCTTAGTTTTTGTTGTATTATTTGCTTTAAAATATTGACATGCTTCTTTGACAGGACATTTTTCGAACAAAAGATGGAAGCATGCTGTTTGTTTCTGGGTATGTCTAATAATCTGGAAATTCTCTTAGTTTAGCCTTGAGATAGGACTTAAGTTGTTAAATATGAAAGAGCTTTGCTTTTTCCTTGAACACAGATCTGTTGAGAAGACAAAACAGATCTGTTTGAACGTACTTCTTCTCCTCACTTTTGATTGACTTGTAAATATCTCCAGTTTGGTAGTTCTCAAGACTGTTTTCTATTCGTTTGTTGATTGGTTAGGTTTACAAGTTTACTAATCGTTTTATATTTTACTTAATGTTTCAGGGATATTTTGTTTCGATACTAATCCTTGGGAAGATTGTCTCCGCTTCAACGAGGTATTTCTCTTTCTTTCTCGTTTTTGTTTTCTTTAAAACCCTAAAAATATCTAATACACAAAAATACACAAAAACACAAAAAACACAAAAACACAAAAATACACAAAGTTAAACAAAAATACACAAAGTTAAACAAAAATACACAAAGTTAGAGCTAATACGCAAATACACAAAAATACACAAAAAAACAAATATACACAAAAAGTTAGAACTTAGAGCTAATACGAAAAAGTCGGGGATCATAAAAAACGACCGAAAGAACTTAGAGCTAATACGAAAAGTCGGGGATCAAT